TAAGCATTGCTTTTGTTATGTCATATAAGTTGTGGGATGTCGTGTTTTCATTTTCACTTATCTCAAGTATTTCCTAAGTTTCATTGTTAGTTCTTTTTGATTTGTTGGTTACTTAGACATGTTGCGATTTAATTTTTCATATATTTGTCAATATTTTAAATTGTCTTCTGAAGAATATATATAGTTAGGTGTAGTATTCAATAGCTGTACGTTAGGTCTAATTGGTTCATAGAGTTGTTCAAGTCCCCTGTTGCTGATATTTGTTTAATTGTTCTGTCATTGAAAATGGAATATTTTTTCAATAATTGTTGAAATGTTTATTGTTGCTTCAATTTAGTCAGTTTTGCTTCATGTATTTTGAGGTTCTCTTATTAGGTCATATTTGTTTATAATTGATTCTTCTATAAACATGCACTTGTTTGTCTCTAGTAAAAAATTTTTTTCCTTAAAATATGTTCCATCTGATATTAGTACAGCCACTCTAGCTCTCTTAAGGTTATGGCCTGCGGTGGCATATTTCTTTTGCTACTATTTTCCTTTCAATTAAATTTGTGTCTTTAAATCTAAACCGTCTCTTACAGATAGGACATAGTTGGATCACTTTTTTATCCATTCTATCTTCTTTGTCTTGCATTTGAAGTGGTTAATCTATTTAAATTTAACATAATTACTTTTAAAGTAGAATTTGCATTTGTTATTTGTTTTATATATGTCGTCTTTTTGTTCCTCTATTTCTTCATTACTGTCTTATTTTGTTAATAGATATTTTCTAGTGTATCATATTTTTTTGTGTGTGAGTTGAAGTCTCACTCTGTCACCCAGTCTGGAGGGCAGTGGCACACCTCTCAGCCACCGCAGCTTCAACCTGCTGGGCTCCGACATCCTTCTGCCTTGGTCTTCCAAGTAGCCAGAACTACAGGTGTGTACTACCATGCCCAGCTAAGATTTTTGATTTACTGTAGAGACGAGGTCTCGTCAAGTTGTGTGGGTGGGTCTCAAACCCGCAGGCTCAGGCAATCCATTCACTTTGGCCTCCCAGAGTGCTGAGATTACAGGCTGAGCTACCAAGCCCGGCCTAGTGTATCATTTTAATATCTCGTAATTTCTTTTTTTTTGTAGTTATTTTCTTAGAAATTGCCCTGGAGATCACAATGAACATCTTAATCTATAGTCATCTAGTTCAGATTAATATCATCTTAACTTCAGTAGTACACAACTTTGTTTCTACAGGGCTCCATTCTCTGCATCCTCTTTGTATTATTATTTTTATATAAATTGCATCATTATATATTGTGCAATATACTTATTGCAGTTGTCTTTTAAATTAGTTAGGAGGAAAAAACTTGTAAACAAAAAATACATTTATATTGTCTTTTTAATTTGTCTACATAGTCACTTGTAGAGGTGCTCTTTATTTTTTCATGAGGATTTGAGTTACTATGTAGTATCCTTTAATTTTATCCTGAAGGAACTCCCTTCAGTATTTGTTAAAGGGAAGTTTTGCTACCAACAAATTATCTCAGTTTTTGTTTATCTGAGGATGTCACAATTTTTCTTCTGTTTTTAAAGACAGTAGGACTTGTTACAGAATTCTTGGTTGACATCCTTTTTCTTCTTTGAGTGCATACCATTGCCTTCTGGAGTCCATGGTTTTTGTTGAGAAAAAAACTGTTAATTATTTCTTGCTGCTTTCAAGATTATTTGTCTTTGGCTTTTGACAGATTTATTATGATGTGTCTAGGTGTGGGTCTCAAGTACATTATTTAGAATTAATTGAACTTCTTGAATACGTACATTAATTTCTTCACAAATTTGGAAAGTTTTTGCTTTTTTCAAATATTTTTTTCATCCCCACTTTCCTTTCTTTTTCCTCCGGGACTCACATTATACATATGTTGATATGCTTGATGGTGTTCTACAAATCTCTAAGGCTCTATTCATTATTCTTTAATTTTTTCCTTTCTGTTCCTTGTACTGTATAAGCTCAATTAAACTGCTTCAAATTCATCAATTCTTCTTTCTGCCTGCTCACATCTGCTGTTGAGTCATTATAGTTCATTTATCATTTTAATTATTATACTTTTCAACTTCAGAATTTCTTTTTGCTGTTTTTAAGATAATTTTATCTCTCTACTTATAGTCTCTGTTTGTGAAGACAATGTTCTCATATGTCTTTAAAAGTTATTTCAGGATATGTAAAATAACCTTGCTAATCAGTCCAACTTACAGACTTTCTCAGAAACAATTAAGTCAGATAACTTTTTCACACCTGTGCATGGGCCATACTTTGTTTTCCTTTGCACGTTTTATGACTTTATTGTTGAAAATTGAGCATTTTAAATAATATAATCTGGAAACTCTTGAAATCAGATTCTTTCTGTCCCTAAGAGTTTGTTATTATTGCTGTTATTTTGTTCATTTGCTTAGTGACTTTCTAAGCTGATTTAGTACAATCTGTATTCTCTGTTGTATACAGACACTAAAGTTTCTTCTCAGTTAGCCTAGTTGTTAGCTAATGGTTGGACAAAGATTTTCTTAAATGCCTGGAACCAATATGTCTCCCTGACTATGACAACACGCTCTGTATATATATATTGAGGCATGCCTTTAACACTCAGCCAGGCAATTGACAAACTCTGCTTTACCCTTTACTTTCTGCTTTGAGTCTCAAGGTTAGCCAGAGGTGAAAGCTTAGGACCTTTTCAGGTCTTTCCAAAGCATATCTACCACCATGGACATATGCATATTAACATTACACTCACCCACCTGGGCACCCAGCTAGTCTTTAGCCATTAAGTAAAGATCCATTGAGCATTTACCACTTCCAGTCCTATATACTGCAGTTCCAGACACTGGTGGTTAGAAATATTTGAAAAGTGAGAAAATCTGATTTATCTTGAATAAGGCACCAAATATTTGAAATGTTTAGCTCAAGTACCCTAGAAGAATCTGATATCACCTTGAGAATAAGGGATTTGAGAGCTAAACTTTTAAGAGAGTATGTAAAGTAGAGTGTTTCTAATTAGTATTTCCTATGAGAAAGATTAGAAAATGGTCAAATATAGGCCTGTGGGTTTATGAGCTCAAAGTGAAACCAATCTAATAATGAATAAAACATTTTTCCTGAATAAATATTATAAACCCTTTTAAAAATTACTGATGGGATACCAAGGAAATGAGATTTTATATTGAATCCTTTTCTGAAGTCTGGGAAATTCATGTTTATTGAATTAGTTTTTTCCTTCTTTATTTCTATAGAAAAGTGAAAAATTAATGATGAATTATAAAGTAATCCCTCCTCAAACTCCAAATTGGTAGCAATATTGTTAATAATAGTCAATTTTATATCAATAAGAAAGATTAAGATAATTGAAATGGAAATGAGTGTTTAAAATTTAAAACCTTTTCAATCATTCTATTTTCATATATTTTAGGCAAGTTATTTTACCCTAGTATGTATGTTTGTTTTTCTTGTGGGCACCTCACTTCTTCCTTTGAATGTCTTTTTTTCCCTTAAGATAATTAGTGTATTCATTTGAACCTATTTTATTAAAAGTTTTCATATTTAAGTGAGATCAAAGACCACTTTTCCTTTTTCTCTCTGTCTCTGTATCTCTTTTTAACTCTCTTTTGCTCTCAGTTAACCTTTAATATATAATTATTTAACATTAAAAAAATCCAACTTTACTAGGTAAACAATACATAGTTTCTCTGCTTACCTGGTATAGGCAGGCATTTTTTCAATATTAAATAATATATTTGTGGGGAATGGGAGAGATGAGAGAGAGAGAGAGAAAAGATGACAACTTAGTATAAATGACACAAACGTGCCAGATTGTTGGTCACATACTCTAATCTAGAGGTAGAAATGTTCTCCTTGCCTGTGTGCTGGTAGAATTCTGAATTCATATGACACCAAGGAGTTGAGTGTGACTGAACCATCACTGCAAACTGAAGAGTAGAGAGATGAGGCCTTCTAGGTGTCTAAACAAGGGGTACCAATTTTTATTCTCTAGGAGATGGAGAACCATTGATAGATGTTTAGAAATGATGAGGCATGGACATTTGCAGGGAAACATCACTCTTGGAGCTCTGCAGAAATGGATTTGATCAGGCAAGACCTATCTCTGGAGGAAGATTCCCTTAATCTTATGTTCAATTTTTTGGGGGGAAGTTGGTCACAGGTTCATTTTAAAAGCTTTTCCATCCAGACCTCAAAATTGAAGTTATTCCAATGAGGATCTAGAGAATAGTCTAGGTCATATTACATAAACCAGGTTGGACTTTGAAAAATGAAATGTCCTATTTTTACACATTGCTAATAAAAACAACAAGCTCATGACTGCTCTCTGAAAATTCCAGGCAATGCCATAGTGTCTCTATTGTTTTAATTTCTGGTACATTTATATTAACATCTTCTGTTTTTAGAATGGTTCAAAGGAAAAGGCACCATTTCATTTATTTAATCCTCTGCATCTGTAATGTAATAAAGAACTGACTATATTTCACACAGCTTTTTTATGTTATCTTTATGCAACTCCCATGGGTAGATATTATTATCCTCATTTTAAAATGAAGGAAATTGATACCGAGGTTTAGTAACTTGGCTTTCATTACAAAAAATAGCAGAGTTAGAACTTGAACCCAGGTCTCTCCAATACCAAATGCTTTCTTTTTAGTGTGTCCCCTTCCCTCCTGCATAGAACTTGTCCGGTTGTAAACTCATTCTTCCTCTGTACACACCCTTTACGAAACATTTTCTTCATGTCATCTGGAAGCATTGTGAGAAATAAAAATCTGCATATCTTTGCATTAGGATAATAAAGCTTATTTAATTATTTAGGTCATACAGCCCCTTGTTTCTGCCATAATCACAGAATACAGAAGAGCCAGAGGAGTCCTGCTTTCCAATGACTTACATCACTCTGCAGACAATTGGCAGCGAGGAGAGGGGCAGCTGCCGCACTCTTCAGATATCTCTCTATTTAAAGTTCAAAGAGACTCCGCAGAACAATAAGGAAGAGGTAAGCGTGGCCCTGACCAAGTCACCAACAACAGGAATAATGGCTGAAAAAGGTAAGATTTAAAGATTTTCTTGGCCAGAAAGATTTTCAGACTTTGGTTTACCTATGTGTCTTGGCATTTTCCAGTCATTGTGAAGAATGTGGTATCTCTTGCAAAGGATCAATAACCATATCTGTAGTGTGGCTGGAAAAAATGCATAAGAGATGCAATTTATGGGTCATGCTTTTGCGCTGTGAAACATTTCGAAAGGATCACTCAAACAAAATAGCTTAATTTTGTTCATGCTTATTTTGAAAGGTGAGTTAGAAACCAGTTATTCTTCAGTGTTGTATTAGATTAGAAGTGTTAGGGTGTGCTCGACCAGAATTAAGGGCAACTGGGTTCTGTGTCAGATCTGCTACTAAATGGTCATGTGAATTTGGAAAAGGTTTCTATCTCTCTGAGCCTGTTTTCACTGTAAAATGAGAATGTGGAGCTCAGTCATCTCTAGGTTGTCCCACATCTAAGTATTTTTGTGTGTTTTAAATATTTTTTACATTTATATTTGTATATAATAATTAACTCCAACATAACAAAATATGTTACACATAGAATGTGTCTAAGAAACAATTTGAAATACCCACAGAAATTTCTGCTTTTAATCCTGAAAATAACCTCCAAGATATGCATATTACCACGATTCCCATGTTGCAGATAAGGAAACTAAGGCATAGCAGTTTAGTAACTCGTCCATGATCACTAGACAGTGGTGGTACCAGGTCTTGAACCCGTACAGTCTTGTTTGAGAGTGCAGTGCCCTTTATAACACTTCCAGCTGTAACTACTTTGGTATGCTCAGAACTGGACACTAGGGAAGCATTTTGAAATTACTCTTCATGTTTAAAGAGAGGCTTTGTTCTTATTTGTGCTTGGAACCTAAGTGACAACTGCAAAGTATGTTGTGTTCTCATGTATTTTTATTTCCAAACTATGCCACAGATTGTGGTAAAATTGAAAATATTAGGGATAAAAGAGCACTAATGCATGTATACTTTGAGTGTTAAAATGTGCATTCAGTTGTCCTGTTTTTCAAGGAATAGTAAATAATGGGATATTTACTTTTAGGGCCTTATGACGTATAGATTTTATTAAAATATTCAAGTATAAAATATTTATAAATGCTCAATTAAAACATCAATATTAATTTTCAAGTTCTCTGAAATAAGGAAAAATACTAAGTCACACACACGCACAGTTCAAAAAAGTTACTGTTATGTGTTCCCATCATAATGGTATTTTATTTTATTTATTTATTTATTTATTTTTTGAGTTGGAGTCTCACTCTGTCGCCCAGACTGGAGTGCAGTGGCCGCTCCCGGCCACCGCAGCCTCGACTTACTGGGCTCCAGCGATCCTTCCGCCTCAGCCTTCCAATGTAACCGGAATTACAGGCGAGCGCTACCACGTCCGGCTAATTTTTTGATTTTATTGTAGAGATGAGGTCTTGCCTGCCCAGGTGGGTCTCGAACCCGCGGGCTTGGGCAATCCACTCACCTCAACCTCCCAAAGGCGCGGGATTACAGGCTGAGCCATCAAGCCCGGCTCATAATGGTATTTTAACTGATAAAAAGTTTTTGTCCAAATGAAAGTAAAGGGCATCTCTTAAGGTTTGCTTTACCCTTAAAGCAATGTCACATTGCTAGTATAGAGGAGGATTTTTTCATTTAGTGGTTGATGCCTTGTTCAAGTTCACAGTGAGACAGAAAAGCGAGGAAAGCCTGTTGAATTTGTCAGTTAAGAGAGACTCCAACATTTTTGGAAAAACAGATTTGAAGTATTGAAATTTATTTCGACTTCAGAAAGTTGACTTTTATAAGAGTGTCTTCTAATTTTAGAAGTGTCTCGGCTCCTGATGATTTTATTTTAATAGCATTTTTTAAAATTCACATTTTAAAGTGATGGAAATTGTAATAGGAGGGTAAGTGCTAAGAATATGCATCCTCTTTGTTAGCTAATGGCATAAGAAAGATCTAATTGTGCTTTTCAATTAAGAAAATATCTTATTCTTTAACACATAGGCATTAATTCTATAGGATGTCTTTGCTGTTTCTAAATCCTTTTGTGTGATATGTATTTGTGTGTGTGGTGTGTGTGTGTGTATGTGTGTGTGTTTGAAAGAACAAGACTGAGGTGCAGTGAATATTAAAAAAGAAATATATTTTTATATATATATTTTTATAAATGACTTTTTACAGCTAAGAGAAGAAATAAGAAGCACGGGAGGAATAATGTATAACAAATGTCATTTATGTGCGTGTTGGGTTATTATGGTCCATAGATTCAGGCTCAGTGCTGGTTGTTATATTGAACAATTTCTTTAAAAATAGAATCTTTTTTCTCTAGTCAAGAATGATTACATAAGATATGATGCCTTCCTCTTCCTGTGATATTTAAAATTGAAGTCAGCTATTGAGGTCAAGTACAATTCTCAACATGTTTCCCTGTGCTCGATTATGTAGTTTAGTAGGAATTACCTCAGAATTATATTAGATTGTTTTGATGTAAACAACTGCTCTGTATGTTATTACACAAGTGCATGAATGTGTTCTGTGTATACTAAACACACACATGGTGGTTAGAGTTTACAAAGCTTTGCACGTATGTCATACCGTTTGACTCTCACAACAACTCGGGAGGTAGATATCACAAGTCTCAGATTTATATCTACAAATAGTGAAGTTCAAGCCCAGAATTGCCCAAGGCCACATAACTATAAAAGGAAGGCCTCTGATTTGAACCCAGATCTTCTATTTCAAATGCCCCAGGTTACGGATTGAGTCACAGGTATCCTTTTCAGAAAAGAAAAAAAAAATATGTATAAGTATGACTAGAGAGTATATATATTTTTCTTGATATTGTCAGATTTCTCTTTTTCTTTTGATTCAGGAGATTTAGTACCGAAATGACCTACTTAATCTGGTTTTTGTTTGTTTATTTGTAAGCAGAGTCTACATATTCACACCTTCTAGTTCCTATTCTTCTTCTAATTGGCTGGATTGTGGGTTGCATCATAATGATTTATGTTGTCTTCTCTTAGAAAGGTAAGGCTTTTAATAATTGAATATTTATCCACATTATAAATTACTTCAGAAGTATTTTCGGTTTTACTAATGGAACATTTTATCATTCAGGCAAGAAAACATCAGATTGACTTCATTGAGAAGACTTAAGAAAAACATGAACATGACTGATTATTAAATGTGTCTCAAGTTAAATAACTGCAATGTTTGACTTCACTCTATAAACTTGGATTATAAGCTGGTACTTTGGTGTGCATAAGAATTTCTTCAGAAACATGTTTAAAATTCTGAGCACAAAAAGAACTATAAGGAATCATGAGTGAATTTCTCTGTACTCTGAGAGTAGAAAAAAATGTTCTTAGCAATGACCCAAAATGCATATACAATAAGGGAAAATTTTGATAAATTCAACTACATTACAAATTGTTTTGATGGTCCCATCCCTCAAAAATGTAGAGAAAATGGTCTAGAGATAAGAATAGACAATTCACAAAAAATAAAATGCAAATGTAAACTTGGCCCTTAACTTCTTGTTTCTAACAAGAGAAATGTAATTAAAACTACCCTGAGGAACCATTGCTCACTTATCAGATGGGATAAAATAAAGATGTTTGACAACATATATGTTGGTTAGTCTGTAAGGAAATAAAGCACTCTCATACACTGTCCTTGGATATTCTAAATGGTATACCACTTTTGGGGGTGTTTGGCAGTTAGTATCTATCAAAACTACATACATATTTAACTTTTGACCCCAACTGTCCTTCTTTTAAGAATATGACAATCTTCACAAAGCACTGGCAAAGATACAAAGTGGCATATATACAAGGCTATTCATTCTGGCATAAATTGTTATAGCCCCCTAGGAATAAGCCAAATGTCCATTAATAGGGAACTGATTGAATAACTGTGGTTATCCAATAATGTAGCACTTATGCAGCCATAAAAAGAAATAAAAGGGCTCTCTAGATACTTATGACTTGATACTTATAAGACAAAGTGTTAAATGAAAAGGCCAGATGTAAAACAATGCATGTGACCTTTTTTGTAAGAAAAGAAAGGTCTATACCAATATGTACACACATTTGCTTAAATAAAAACATTGAAACTGAGGAGACACAGTTGAAGGCTAAATATCTCTAGAGGTACCTTGTTTTATAGTTTTCATTTCTGGAATCATCCAAATATATTAGAAATTAAAAAGAAAAAATACCTCCAAATTTAAAACAAACTAAAATAAATGTAGTATATATCAAGTTTGTGGCCTAACCACACAGAGAAATCTTTCAAGTAACTTGAAGACATCGTATATTTGACTGTACGTGTCTTCTTGAATAAAAACATTAACCAATTTCAATAGTCTTTTTGTTAGTAGTAATATTGATATTGTTGGCTTGAAATCCATACCATCAGTATAAAAGTCAAATAAAACCCTGGTAATCTTAAATTTGAATTGCAAATATCAGTATGAGCCAATTATTTATTTTCTTTCCTCTTAAAAAAACGTGTATCCTAGCTCTGCCCATTAAAAAAGCTTAAGAGTAAGCGTTCTCACACCTTCATTCCTTAATTGTGGTCTCTTAAGTACCAATCTCCACTCAGAGGCAGGGATTCCTGCCCTAGTCTGGGGCAGGAAATGTACAGAATAATTTGTAACTTTATGCTGAATGGATTAGTCTGATGACATCTGCACCCAATGGTTGATTTAACATCACTAAAAGTGTTGCAGACTGATGCTATGTGCCTCCTGATAGGATTCAGTAGAAACTACACATTTCCACTTAGGAAGTATTCTTGCTGAAACAGGTAAGCCCGGAGAAGAACAAATTTCTGGATCAATCTATGAGGCTACTCTTAAAAAAAAAAAGATCACGAGGATATATTCATCCAAGTCCAAAGCATGAAAAATTAAAACAGACACATGACCTGATTTTTCTAACACATAACTAGCATTAAGAAGTGAGGTGGGGAAGGAGAAACTCTCATAGAATAAAAGAGACTTAAATAAATAGAAATAAATACTTCGGTATGAACCAACTACCAAAGACTCATTTTTGAATTTTCATGATGAAGTCATTAAGACATTGTTACTAACTTTGTTCACTATAGGCTATGATTTGAATATAGCTTGTTGGTTCCCACCAAAACTCATACTGAAGTTTAATTGGTCTTGGTTGAGAGGTGGTGGTGGTGTTGAGAGATGAAGCCTAGTGGAAGGTGTTTGGGTCATGGGGATAGTTCCCTCATCAGTGGCTTGGTACCATTTTCACTCTGACTCAACAGGATTAGTTCTCACCCAATGGATTGGTTCCCACGAGAACGGGTTCTTATAAAGCCAAGACACCCTTCAGACTTGGTCCCTCATCACACATGCTTACTTTCCATTCAATCTTCTCTACCGTGTTTTGACTCAGCACAAAAGCCCTCACCAGAAGCTGAATAGTCGTTGGTGTCATAGTTCTTGTACAGTCTGCAAAACTGTGAGCTAAATAAATCTTTTTTCTTTATAAATTACCTAGCCTCAGGTATTCCTTTACAGCAACACAAAACAGACACTATAATAATGATAATTGCCAATGGAAAAGAATAGGGTCTTACTGTTAGATACATACTGAAACGTTTGCAGGTTAGACGGTAGGATGTCATTGTCTTAAAATAGTCTGGCAGAAAACAAAATGAAAAATAAAGTGGGGAATATTAAATAAAACAGGCAAGATGTTGATGTTAGTTTAAACTGAGTGATGACTTCATGAGGATTTGCTCTACTCTTCTACTTTTGTGGATATTTAAACATTTTTATAAGAAGATTATTTCTTTTTCCTCCCAATGACTCTGTGTTGAGAACTATACCTAATGCAAGTAAATAAGTAAAGTAGAATAAAAACCATAAAATAAAAAGCAGTACTGTTTCTGATCCTCATCCCTACCGATTCTGATTTAGCAGGAGTGTTCTGGTGCCAGAAATCTGCATTTTAACAAATTCCTCCAAGGTTTCTTCCTCCACTGCTTAAGAGAAGTGTTTTGGTTTTTTTTTTAAGTTTAGATTCGGGGGTACACATGTGTAATTGTTACATGAACATATTATGTTGTGGTGGGGATTGGGTCTCAGGTGGCCCGTTCCCCAGGTAGTGAACGTTGTACCCCTTAGTTTCTGAACCCTAATCCCCTCTCCTCCCACCTCTTATTGGTGTCCCCAGTGTCTATTATTTTCATCTTTGTGACCGTTTAACTCCCACATATGAGTGAGAACATGGGATGAATTTTTATTTTATCTTTTTAATTTTAAAGCAAAAAATAAAATAAAATTTTCACCACCATTTTCATGATTTTCCCAATCATGAAAAAGGACACAGACTTTCTTTTGCTTTTTATTGAGATTATGATTCAGATACCATACAGTTCATGCCTTTAGAATACGTGATTCAGTGGTTTTTAGTGTATACACAAAGTTTTGCGATCATCTTATTGAAATTGTGCGACACTTCATAAAATTGGAATCAGGCAGTAAAAAAAAAAAGGTGTTTTTCAGACTTTAGTGCACATTAGCGCCCCCTGGAGACTTATTAAGATACAAACGGCAGGGCCTCATTCTCAGCCTTTGTTTCGGGAGACTCTGAATTTAATTTCTAGCATGTCTGGTGATATTGCCGCTTCTGCCTTGGAATCTGTACTTTGAGAATCACTGCTCTAAAAGCAACCTGATATCTTCCTCATAAAGTTAGCACTCTCTTTCATTCAATTAAATTTCCTCCAGAAATTAATCCTCTTATCAAAAAGCTGGAGAAAACTCTTGCTTTATTGATTTTTGTCTTTTAAACTTGGTTAAACATTTCAAATAGGCATCTTAAAAATGTTCTATTTAAAGCAATACTTACAAAATCTAAAGAGCATGCCTACAACATTAGGCTCATTAGGCTTTTAATCGATGCTCTGATCTAATTTTAGTTCTCCAGATGTAAGAAAAACAAACTCACCTTAAACCAGAGGTCTGCTGGAGTTGACTCCTTCAGGCTTGTGAAAGCTGGTTGTCAACAGCTTCAGGAATTTTGTGAGTCGGTCAGTGTCTCATTGGTAGCTTGAATCTGGCTTTGGTGGATACGCGCACCATGGAAGCCCACAAATGCTACATATCAGGGCTTGTTCCCAGTGAAAAGCCAGCACGTAAACATTTACCAGTATACCACTACCTTGCTGTCTTTTGACTTATCTGATGCTTATAGAGGTTTGTCAGGGACTCAAGATCAGTCATTTTTAAAAAAAATCTACTGGAGGCTGAGTGCAGTGACTCGTGCCTGTAATCCCAGCACTTTGGGAGACTGAGGTGGGAGGATTGCTTGAGGCCAGGAGTTCGAGACCAACCTAGGAAAGATAACAAGACCTTGTCTCTAAAAAAAAAAATCAAAAAATTAGCCAGGCATGGTGGCAGCTGGTAGTCCCAGCTACTCAGAAGACTGAAATGGGAGGATCTTTGAAGCAAGGAGATCGAGGCTGTGGTGAGCCATGATGGTGCCACTGCACTTCAACCTGAGCGACAGAGTGAGACCTTGACTCAAAAAAATAAAAAGTCTACTTGAGATAACTAAAAAGATGATCTCTCCATCCACTCGCACTCTTATGTGTTATAGATTTTAATGATAAACCTGTGAAAGCTATAAACTCTCCTAGAAACCATAAATTAACACAAAATTATAGATACTATTTTAAGGTGTTCGTGAAACTCATAGAAAAGACACCTGAGGTTAAGCATCTTCTCAAATGTCTCCTACTTTCTGAAACGTTTAGACTTCTTCAAAACCTGGCTTTAGTTTCCCGTGGAACTAAAAACATTTTTAAACTTTCTTCCAAGCTAGAGGCCAGTTTTTCTTTTTTCCTTTTTAAGAAGTAGTGATTATTTACTTCTTTTAATAGAAAAAATTGTATATATTTATGGTATACAGCATAATGTTTCGATAAAATTGTAGAGTGACAAAATTAAACTAAACATATGCTTTACCTCTCATACTTACCGTGTGTGTGTGTGTGTGTGTGTGTGTGTGTGTGTGTGTGTGTGTGGTGAGAAAATTTCAAATCTACTCTCTTGCAGGGCTTTGGGGCACAAGCCTATAGTCCCAGCTACTTTGGAGGCTGAGGCAGGGGCATCACTGGAGCCTAGGAGTTATGGGATGTGGTGTACTATGATGGCACTTGTGGTCTACAGCCATACCACCCTGCATTCACCCCATCTTGTTTGATAGCACATGTGCCTAGCCACAGCACGCCAGCCTGGGTAAC